CCTGACTCTCACAAATTATCTTTATCATAGTTTTATTATTTTTATTAAAACTCTCATCGTAGTTTTTCACATTAACTGATCCATAGTCGTATATTGTTGATTTGTTGGATCTTCGATCAAAATCACCAAAAATTGTATAGTGATATGGAATTTACTATAAGGGTTCGTTGATAATGAAACATTTCAGGATGAGCATCTTAATTGAAATACAGAAACGTTGAAAGGTTACCTTTAATTACGATAGAATTCATGCTCCTTTACGTTGCTGTGGTTGATCGTTACCTAGTGTTGGAAATTATTAAATCTCCGGAGAAGCCGAAGAAAATGTCTTAAGACCGCCTTTAAGTTTGGATGTAGCACACAATTTTCCCAAACAACTTTTTAAGGCTACATCGTTAGTAAATTTTGATTTTACTTGCAAATTTTATTTGTCTATCGAATGTTGACTTTTTGTCGCCCCTACTATTATTATAACTACGACAGGTGCCATTAAATTATTTGGTAAATATCACTTTAAAGTTTCTCTAGTATCGTTATTAGCATCACTTCTTGATTTTTTATTAATAAATTAATTCAAAATTTTCGAAGAAATGTTTGTTTTCCCACATTTTCTATTTTCTACGCATTTGTTAAAAATATAATTGATTTAAAACAATTATTTAAATTTAGTCTTAAATTGGTAGTTATATTTAGTATATTGGTACACATAAACAAAATATTATAAAGAATGTTTTAAAATACGAAACAAAAATAAAAAAATTAATGTCTTATAGATTAATTATAATTTATATAGATATAATCATATATATATATATTTGATTACAGATTATTTTAATTATTTGTAAGAATATTTAAACTGTAATGTAAATGATACTTACCTTATTTATTTATTGACTTTTTTTCATACGCTACATTTGTATATCCTGAACATTTTATCAATAGAATTTTTTATTAATTAATAACATGTATATTTATTAATATGATGAAAATTGAAAAATGCTAAAATTAGTTATTTTTTTGTATAATATGAATAACAAAAATATTGTTTCGATATAAACTCATTTTTTTGGAGATAATTAAAAAAAAAAAAATTACATCCAACTCCATATTTATATCCTTCTATCTACCTACACTATTTGAACCTTACCTCAATATGTTTTATTTAAATGTAAATGTAATTTTAAAAGAATCTAAATATTAGTGAACTATTAAAATATTACTAAAATAATATAATATAGGTACGTGTAATATATATATATATATATATATGGGTATTATAACTTTAAATCCTAATTTAATTTTAAATTTTGATGAACCAAAAACTGTGTATTCATTATATAATTCATTGTTTGTGGATGAAAAGAAATCAAATAAAGTATATTGCCCCATGGCCGTATTTAATTGATCATACGTCAATTTGAAGGTTAACCCTGCATTTATGCGGCGCGTATTATGTCTTTAGGATAAGGACAGATGTTATTGTTCAGACTTCTCTTATTATATATAATTTTATTACAATCGAATATTATTCTTAGCACAATGGTATTGCATTATTGATTAATAAAATACATCAATTTTATTACTCATATATTGTAATGCATCTTGATATTATATTTCTATATATCTTCTGTAATTCATATAATGTAATTTGATATATTTTGTATGGGTTAGTATCTATTTTTAACTTTGCATTTATATAGTTTTGGACTAAATTTAAAATGTATTATTTTTTAATACTATCTAATATATATATATATATGTGTATAATTATATTGTAATTGTTTAAAATCAAAATTGAAATAATGTGTCTTAATATACTCGTGAGAAAATAAAAATGTATATCACATTTTAAGAATGTAAAACGTGTTCATGTCTCGTATAAACACAATTAAATGTTATGACAAAATAATTGAATAAAGTGATCAAACACCGCGGCCATAATGTTTAGCTTAAGTGTCGTCATGCGAATACTCGCCATTTGGTTTTTCCAATGCCATCCAGTTTCTCCAACTGATTCTGCCTACGCACCTTAATATAAAATAGTAGGATACACTTTATATAACATTTATAATTATATATATAAAAAGGATAAATGCATATAAAGTTCACACGATTATAATATTCTTTATAACTTATGCTTATATGATATTAGTATAAATTACTAAAAAAAGGTTTTATTTTCTTTAAATGTCGTTTAAAATGGCTTTTGTTAAAGGTCATCTTCATTTAAATGTCAAGATTATTATGACTGCATTAGTGTTAATTTAGTGTTAAACATTTTCAATTTTCTTAAATATATTTACTATCAACACTTAGATGTTATCTTATTTAAAAAATATATTGTATAAATGGTGTTAGATAATCGATTTTATTTCTTCATACCTATTACCACCTACCCAAGTATATTGTTTTATTATTGATTTATCATATTGTAATAATAACAATGGTTTTCCACTGATTCTGTGTGCTTTCACATTGTACAATGTTTGTAATTTATACGTATTCTTAAAAAAAATCTAATTATAAAACATGTCTGCATTTTTTACGGCCTCAAAAAACTACACAGATATTATACTCGATGATTGAAATTAAGTGTGTGAATTTCTTTTCATACCTTTTCTAAAAGTATAATTTTAACTTTTTCTTTTATCATGTCTATATGTATGTATATTTGAATTATGTTTAATTTTTTAGTCACTTCTCTTGATAAATTACTATGTATATTTTTAGTTTAGATTGATGTTTCGTTTTATTTTAAATATTTTATTTCAATTGCTGTGTTTGAATTCGTATTATGTACCATTTTATTGACCGCTTTATTTCATATAGTTGGATGAACAAATATGATACAATAGTTACATAACCGAAATTGGTACAAAATGACATTATCTGGTTATTTCTTGTTTGGACTATAAACAATATGTATTATTGTCCGGCTTGTTCAATAATATATATATATATATATATATATATGTATGTACACAGAAAATAAAATAAACAACTGACAGTTTTCCAATAAGGAAGTGAATTTTATCGGCCTCACCGCTGTAAAGCAAAAGCGCGAGGTCTCGGCCATATTTTCCTTTCGATATTATTGGTAAGAAATGAAAACGAGTAATAGGTACACATAACACAATAATACTATGAATGACAACACTTCGTTCTCATTTCACGATAATATCTTATACTTACATACCAACAACATTCATACACTGTTTTCACAAAAACCAGAACAATATTGTATGGAGATATCGAAGGTTTCATATGAAAATAATAGCATGTTAATGAAATCTCTATTGTGCTTCATTGTTTCAACACTGGAAGGTCATTCACCGGTTTCTTTGTCAAATCGTTCGAAAAAAATTATAATACTGATTTGCGAAGAGAATTTTTTTTTCCCAAGTTTTTTCTCTTATCGTTTTTTTGATGATAAGAATGTACATACATGCCACCTGAGCACCGACAATATGAATACTCTCATGGATGTTTACATACTCTACATTAAAATTCATCACAACGATGTGCCGGTTATTTGGCTTCTGAAGCCCTTCAAATTTTGTGCCTTTTTCGTTTTTGATTTCCAGGTATATAGGTCATGTTTGTATATTTGTGGGTAGCTTACTAATACTATTTATAGCTTAGCAAACCAATTACTTATTACTAGTAAACTCGTAAACTTTACTAATTATTTTCCCTTGTAAATGCAGGAGTAGGATGAGATCATACCGTTATCAATATTTTCTCTGAGAATACCATTAATACTTTTTTTATCGTGTATTAAATTTATATAATAAATTTACCTGATTAATGAAAAAAAAAAAATGGAAAAAATCCTGCCAGAGAAATATAATATTTATATAAATATTAATTATTTACTCGTGGTTTTATCTTTAATATCGTTAAAATAATGATTAATTCTTTAGTTTACGATTAATTTAATTTAAGTCATGAAGTGCTTTAACTATTGTTCTGCTAAAGCTATTCAATCCGTTACGTTCTTAGACATTATCTTAAAAAATATTTAGTTCAGGATTAAATATGTAAGATTTACTTTGTAAATTAATATATTGTATTCTAAGGTAGGTAGCTTAATTTATGCAAAACGTTTTTAATGGTTACTCAACGAAATTATATATTATAATTTTGCTTTTGCTCAATATGCATAAGATAACAAATATGACGTACTATTTATACGGTAGTATTACGTGAATCGTGATTGGAATTGCTTTCTGTATCAAATTATTGGTTTAGATACTATTCATCGTATGAGAATTTATTAGGTTACAAAATATAAGGGTCAACATTTAGATTTAAAATCACTGAAACATCATATTACAGAAATTTAAATTTAATATAATTTATATACCTAATTTCAAATTAAATTGACTCATCTGCTTATACCTAACTATTATAGTATTCATATAAACATTTATTATATTGAACCCAAAGGGTAATTTATTTTTTTATAATTATAATAAAAATTGCATTAGTTTTAATTTTACTATTTTATTATAATTATTACTTTAAAATGATTGCATAGTAATACAATATTGATGAATATACAATTAAAATGAGTGAACCTTCCAAATTAGGTGAGATACAGGGATGCTTGGATAATATTACTGTATTTATGTGTTTAACTTGAAACCAATGTACCTTTTACATTGCATTAAAAAAAAATGAATCTAAGAAGTCAGGTGCATCAGTTTATAATTCTAAAGATGGTTGATATATTAGGAGAATCAAATTTTTTATTACTAAGATAAGTTGAATTTTTAATCATCTTCGAATTTTCGGGGTAAAATGGTGTAATAATAATATACATTTTAACAACAAATTTATTCTCTTTAATGTGTTTCTAGTTTATTTTATTCAACAGTTAAAGAATAACAATACTCTTACAAATAATTTAAAATTATGTATTGTAATTCCTGAAATAGTCTAATAATTTGATCTTATTTGCATAAAATCATTGCATGTGTGATATTTTATTTTCAAAGGACTTTCAAAATGTTGCTGACTCCAGACAAGAAATTATTTGCTGACGACGTGGTGTTTGAGAGCTCAGGAGATCGGCCAATACCGTTTGATCCAGGCAAAGCTTACATCGGCACATTGGAAGGTAAATAAAGATTAAATCCGTTTAGTCCTATTAATTGAATAAAGTATAATTGTTTGACATGATTGTGTTTCGTCATATTTTGTCACGCATATTTTGATTGAAAGATTCAATCAAGAAAAGAAAGACTTACATAGACTACATGTTTTACAAATTAATAAAATAAAGTAATTAACTGGTAGTTATTTGCATCATGTATGTACACATATTAACTGAATGAACCTATATAAATTGTTGGTTAAATTGAAGTCTGATTAATAGTTACTATATGTATATAATTTTTTTTAATCTCTACATTTTAAAATCAATAAATGCATTTTGTTATTTATATCTTATCATATTTAACAATTTTACAATTTTATATAATCGAATTATATAAATAAATATCCTGCTAAGTAATACTATTCTGAAGAATCTTATATCAGTATCTAGTGTAATTAATTATTTGCGATTATTGTATCTATATTTAACAGTAATATAATTTAAAATACATATTTAAATTAGATGACGGTAAAAATAATCTAATAATATAATACTACATAAGTTATATCAGATACGGTTTTGTATGGTAGGTTACTAATATTTTTTAAAATTATTAATGAAAAACTCCTCTTTAAATTCAAATTTTTAGTTAGAAGTTATTCTTTGGCTTTATGCAGTGAAATATTTTGGTAAATTAATATTGCCGCAATAACTTAAGAGTAAAATGGGTATAAAAAAGAACGATAGATATCACCTTAGACTGTCGTTTTAATCTTTCTGTTAAAATATCTGATATTTTTATCTGTCGTCTCTGATATTATAAGCCATTGAAAATGTCAGGTATGCACATGAAGTATTTATCTCTCTATCTCTTTCTTTTGCCCTTTATTGCTCTCTATAATAATTTTTCTTTCTTACTCGGACTGACTTTAGTACAAACTATTTTTTTTAATCTACTATTTAAATGAATCGTTGTTTTGTATTATATTATATTCGTATCCATTTAATATTTATGTTGAACTGAAAAAGTTTAATTTAAAATGTAAGCAATTAAATATACCAGTCAGTGTAATATTTGACTATTAAATGTATCTATATTTATTTTCTACCTTTTTATTATAGTTACTCAGATTTGTTATTATCGACATTAAGTTTTTATCCTTATTAAAATATGCAATTAATTATTTAAATAATGAGATTGTTTTATATTTATTCTATAGCAGATTATTTTTGAGTTAATTTTGGTAAAATATGAGTATTTATAATTTAACTTTTCGATCTTGTTACCTTATGAGTGGAACCATTGAAATAATGCAAGATAAACTTTTTCAAGGTCTTGATATGAAGTTTTAATCGGTTGAAAGTGATATTTTCGTTTTCACATGGTAGTTAAAAAATTTTGATTTTAAGTGTAAAGGGATACCGATGTAGAAAAATAGTAAGAAGAAAAAAATGTATTAAACTGTGTCGGGTTTACAAGATATTATTTGTTCAACGTCTCATATTACTTTATTTGTCATAAATGTAACAGTGACATTTTGTACGTAGTAAAATAATGATTTAATTAAAAACTTATATTAATGAATTACATTTTATTTAAATGCTTTCATTTTTCATTTTTCATCATAAAATTTATAACACACAGTTTTATTTTAACTAAAATGATATAAAAATATATATTTTACCATACTTACTTTCTAAATGCCAATATTTAGATTGAAAGTATAAATATGAATACAAATAAGTATTGGTCTAAAACTAATCCAAAAATAATTGGGTGTCTTTTTCATTAGGATTGCAAAAATACTTACAATATAGTAATACGGAAAAAAATTTTTCGAAATTATTTTACATACCACGTGTATTTAATATAAAATTAAAATATTTTTTATTTACTTCAATTTTCCTAAAATATATTTCTCTCTATATAATAATTACATTAATGTTTTAAGTCAAAATATTATAATATAAATAAACTATAAAATTATTGAAAACTCATTACATAATATTTTTACCTTTTTTATATAATCTACGAGTATATCCACCAAATCAGTGAACTCTAAATTATTCAATTAGTTTTAATTTTTAAAGTACATTATTTAATATACATAATAATATATTAATATATTAATATAAATTATTTTTTATATTTAAATTTTTAAAAATTAAATTGTGATACGAAAAAAAAAAATATTTAAAATCTAAAACATGAAAAATAATACATAATATCAACCTTGTATAGATGTTTAGGGGAGTTAAAAGGGCGTATCCCCTCATTGATTAGTATTAAAATGGATATAAAATTAATTTTCTTATCACTATTTGACATAATTAGAAGCTTTATGGAATATACTTACTTATATTAATAATCTATCAATAATTAATAATTCAACAAAACTATAAAAAATGTTTTCGATACATTTTATCAATATTCAAAAACATTAATTTATGGAGCATCTTTTTTTTAACCTTTTTTTAACAAAAAATTGATGTATTTAAAATAATACGTGCATAAAAAATAATAAATAAAAAATGAAGTACAAGTTTGTAATTTATGTTATTTTTTTTTTTTTTTAAATTTCCACTGAATATTAAAGAAAAAAGTATTTTAAAGAGAACTTGATGCTCACTATGAAATATTTGATTACTATACAATAATAATTATTTATATACCTAATTTCTCTATAGAATACCTATACTAGTTGAGGTACTAACTTCAATTACTTTATTAAACTAATGTTTTTAAAATAAATAAATTATAAGTATTATACAATGAATATATTATTAAAGTAGTTTAAATCGACGAAAGTTCGATCGGTGTAATCGTAAGAATCGTAAAAATAATATAAAATATAAATAGTTTTATTAAAAATATATAAATTCAAACTTATACTCCTATAAATAAAATGTTAATAAAAATACATTTCTAGCTCCGTTTAGAATCTATAAATCGTTCTTAATATTTTTTAAAAATTTGATCGATGTTAATGTTGATATTTTTATTATAAATCTAGAGTTTTTATTCAAAACTTTTAAATAAGTATACTATTTTTATATTATGTCAATATTGTTATACTAATTTATTATTAATTTTATTATTATAATTTTAATTCATGACAAATATTTTCCTTAATTAATTAAAATAAACTTAAATATATATTGCCAATAAAACTAATATCTTAAAGTTTGTTTTTAATATTCAATATTTTTATTTCGAAATTCTAAAAATAAATAACAGTTTGTATACATTTTTTTTTTTTTATATATATATAATTTTAACATACCTACATCTTCAGCAGTTCTGTATCAATTATTGTATTAATTAAAAATTTTTTATTTAAAAATAAGCATATATTGATTGGTTTACATTAGTGATTCTCAGCGTGGGTGATATCATCCCCTGGTGGGTGGTGAAGTGGTTTAGGTGGACGTTTTTTGGCCGATTGGGAGGTGGTGAGCAAGTCTTGGGCTATAGAATCGTGTTCAGTACAATATACATTATATTTAAAATAATAATATAATATTTATTTATTATATAATATTTACTTAAATATATAATATTTATAATAAAACTTATATCTGAAGAAAAATAAAAACTGAAGCACATGTGCTTTATTATTATCTGCAGATATTATGCTGAGCTTTGCGTTATAACTTATTTGTTATTGTGATCAAACAATAGAGTTCTATCTATTTATCTATAAAATAAAAGGAAGGTAATAAAATATAAATACCTATCAGCTAGGTCGACATGCGTTTGATTATGTATAATGGTTTACAAATTTAAATATATATATAAAATTCAATATTGAATTTAGGTACCTATTTAAAGTTGTAATTATTTTAATCTTTCTATTTATATTTTTCGCCTGTTTTAAGTATCATAAATTAACTTACTATGTATTATTATAATTTTTTTTTCAGGTTTATACAGTTATTTAAAGATGCATTTAATAATTCTAGTATTTCTATTGTGTATATTTTTATTTATACCTTATTTTGTTCTTATTTCGCTCGTAAATAAAGTTTTATCATTGGTTTTTAAAATTATTTCATTTAACATTTATGTGTCTATTATTCCATTTGTATTGTTTTAATATTTTAAAGGACTTCAAATTCTGTACTAATTTTGCTTCAATGTTGAAAATAATATGGTTATGGAAAATTTATGAAAGTAATAAGTTAATTATGAGTTAAACGTTGTGTTATTTCTTTTGAAACGCATACCATTTGTTCATTTAGAATAATTTATAACAATAAACGTTCGCCTATGACCATAATAGTATTTAGAGATTTGGTTCAAATCGTATATGTATATAAATTATATTGTATCAAACCAATGAAACGTATCCAATTGAACGTCGCAAACCGTTTGCTTAACACAACAGCGGCAATGGTGATATGCGTAGAAATATTTCTCTGCGGCTTATATATCGGTGAACTTATTCGTGAATTTATGTGCCGGTAAATCAATTTGCTGTTCGAGTGCAGGCCATTGCCGCCGTCGCCGGTTTTGTCTGTACATTATAGTCGTTATATCCATATAGTATGTGCCGTCTTTCAATGTATTTATTATTTTTTTTTCCTTTGTGCTGCGTATTTATTGCACGCTGAACCGTCTTGCCGACGAGTCGTTTATCTTTACATTGTTCTTTAGTTAAAAATATTACGTGTCTATATGTTTCTTCGTGTGAAATCATTTAAACATTTCGATCGGTATTCTATTTTAACAAACATTTCTGCGCTGTGTCTGTTACGTGTGATGAAATTTTGTAATTAATTATTGAACTGTGGACCATCAAATATATGCTATTGTATAATAGTTATGATGTTTGTAATGCGTTGGTTATTTAAACAAAATATTATTAACAGCAGATGGCATTTGCATTAGCAAATGTTACTCGGACTTTTGTCTTTCCTGAGATTGTGTGTTTGAGAAAAAGGAAGAATAAGAATGAAGGGGTTTAGGGGAGAAAAAAACAGAGACAGGGTTAGAGAATAATATGTTGATATCGTAGTGC